GAAGCGGAGGGTACCAGGTCCCAGATTGGCATGCTCACAGATCCAGGACGAACCAATTTTCGACAGTGCGTCCATGATTCGTCACAGTTCAGTCCAAGACAATGGTCGTTGAACAGTATTCCCAAGTGGAGGGTGTCCAGGGGCCAGCTGCCCTGATAAATAAACACGACTTCAACAGGACGCATGCGCTACGTGCGGGATAAGAACAAATCAGATGTATGTCTTGAATGGTCCGAATAATAGCCAGTCCATCTCGAGCACCTTTAGCTTGATGCTTCCCCCCCCCCCCCTACGGAGACTCTGACTCGAGCTTGTGGAGCATTCTTTGATTACCCTACAGTTGCAGTAATATTCATGTCTCAATAGAGCTTTCGATATACCATGGTGGACGAAGTAAGACAATAAAGACTGCCAGAGAGTTGCACGACCGTTCAGCAGGACACATCAACCCTACATTAAAGCCTCAAACCAGAATAGAATTTATTTTCGACTGCAGTAGAAATCGAGATTTTCGAGCTTCGGAACACTCGTGCCTCGATGAAAGACCTCTGAGGAGTCGAAAGATATGGCATCCGGCACGAATCCTCTGTCTTTAGCTTGAGTTAAGATCTCCATAAATCCTGGTTTGCTCGTTGCGCAAGAACAGTTTCTAAGGTATCCATGATGCGCTATGGTATCAAGCGTTTTGGTGCTGAGTTGATCAAAAATACTCCCTTTTACAGCACGATTCATAAACTTCAGGATAACCTAGTCTATCCAGTAATCTTATGGATGCCAAGCATTACTAGCTGTGTAGATGGTTGTGACAATCCTCTTCTTCTAACTGAAGGAAATTCACCCTCGTCAAGCGGCTGAAGAAACGCCAGGTTTAAAGGATTCTTCACTGTAAACGGCGTTTTGTTCGGGACATTTGGATGGAATTCATCTGATCCCAACGCGCTGGGCGGGTATTTAATGTGCAGGTTTCACAAAAATCTTGTATGATAATCAAATTTTTTGGACGCCGTCCATGTTGCAGCCCTGCTGAGACCGGATGTGACGATATCGTCGAGGCAAAATGTAAGCCTTTGTGGCCGGCGGATAGACGTACACCCAAAATTTCTCTGAAACCGTGGTTCGAAGAGGGAAACTCTTAACATAAAGTTTAAACCTTTGATGGTAATTTTTCGGGCGTACGAGACGAAACCAAACGGCCGAAGCATGTTGATTGTTGTTCAAACCCACCCAATCTCCACGATATTCAAGGCCCGCGATATTCATATTTTAATGGTGTAACGCATTTGAAACTCGAATGTATCTGCTTGCCCGTTTCTCATATGACCTTATACGTGCCTCTCCCTTTCTCTCGTCCCCCATTGCAGGTACCACGGACGAATCACCACGGGCCTTGGACAGGGAAGAGTACCCCGCTTGTACACCCCCCTAACTGACCTTGACCCGACCCTGTACACACCCCCCACTTCCGGTTTCGGTTTCGCTCAATACACGTGTTTCGTTACCACACTCCGACCTTCTCCCTTGTTCCACCCGACCTGTGCGCATGTGTGCTGTGTATACTGTGTGGATTAATTAATACCAGTCCGTATATCTGCACATTTCAGAACTGACGTGTGCCGTCCTCTCGAACGTCGAATACCGCCGACTTCCCGACATCCCAGGCTACATTGGTGACAGAGGTGGGATCAAGTCAATTTTACGTTCGATCTTCCTGCGAAGCATTCCGGAACACGTGCGACGAAATTGCCAGAGAATCGGTTGGTATTTCAAAGCTGATTATGTCCCACACCCAACCACCTCTGGAAGAACCAGAGACGTTTCAACTGGGCGACGATTTCACGCTCTGGTCGGGTCGAATGAAGGCTTTCCTTACACGGATACATCCGCAATATCACGAGTATTTTATCCTGTCCCATCTGGATGACCCTGCCGCCCGTCGTGTACTCTATTCAGGCGTTTCGCTGTCTGCACCACCGGACATCCTCTGGAATGACTTGTCCTTCCTGTTCGATACACGACCGCCGAGTGATGTCCCTCACTCCTCACCCAACACAACCCCCCTTTCCAACACTTCGACGTTTCACTGTCATTCTCCGGTCCAAAATTTTTCTCCCACCACTTCCGCACTTGATGTTATGTGCCCAGACTTGGGTACGATAACTTCAACGAAACCTGTCGTGCAATCTGATCACAAACTTGGTTTCACACAGGCGGCTTATTCAACTCCCGATGATGAAGTCGATAATAACGAAAAGCCTCCAGGGGAGACGGAAGGGGACACAAGATCTCGAACTCTATCCGATGACTTGGAGCAAGTGCATGAAGAAGCCGCCAACGACACAACACAAGTTCCTTTTCTTTGTGGTATTGATGTGGACCAGCGGAACCCAGTACTTTACACTGAAGACGATGATAATAATCAAGCTGCAGACAGCAAGCCACAACAAACAAAAGTGGTGGTGGACGCGAACTCCAGTGCGCAGACGAGTATGGACACGATAAACCTGGACCCAGTGGTCAACAAAGCGGACGTTTCTCTAGTCATCTCACCAGCCGGGCACACAGAAGATGCTGTCTATCAAACAGATGCAGTTTCGGTCACCTCGCCGAATTCGACTCTAGTGAAAATCAAGACTTCCGTTGCTACTGCCAACAGCTCTGCAGACCGGCACCCTGTGGTTGGACAAACCCACCTTAAGGTTGCCAACTCAGGAGGCAACATGAGAGACGTGCTACATTCCATTCTTCCACATGGCCCTGGACCACCCCGTTCAACTGTTACAAGCACTCCTTCTGAGCACTGAGGACAGTGCTCAGACTCGGGGGGGGGGCAATGTAACGCATTTGAAACTCGAATGTATCTGCTTGCCCGTTTCTCATATGACCTTATACGTGCCTCTCCCTTTCTCTCTTCCCCCATTGCAGGTACCACGGACGAATCACCACGGGCCTTGGACAGGGAAGAGTACCCCGCTTGTACACCCCCCTAACTGACCTTGACCCGACCCTGTACACACCCCCCACTTCCGGTTTCGGTTTCGCTCAATACACGTGTTTCGTTACCACACTCCGACCTTCTCCCTTGTTCCACCCGACCTGTGCGCATGTGTGCTGTGTATACTGTGTGGATTAATTAATACCAGTCCGTATATCTGCACATTTCAGAACTGACGTGTGCCGTCCTCTCGAACGTCGAATACCGCTGACTTCCCGACATCCCACGCTACAATGGCGCTATGACTGAGCACGTGAGTGCGGAGGATGATTTTGCGGAGAATTTAGCCCGTTAAAGTTTTTTCTCGTTGATTGCATTTCAAGTCGCTTTGAAAGAGTACTAGGCGAAGCATTTCGTTGTTTTCGTCCGCATGAGCGCCAAAACGAGCAGCAGTTCGCTACTTTTGTATGATAAAGCCTCCTACCGTTGCAGCAGACATCCCTGCAGACGAAGCAGAAGCCGTGGAATTCGTCGCACCTAGTAAGTTAATGGTTGACTGTGTATACGTTGTAGCACACGTCGTACTGATTGTCCGGCAAGGTTCCACGTTCGCCGGTACCATGACTGCTTGAGGGTTACTTCCTACTACCTGGAGCACAACCATCCACGCAGCATTTTATTTTTGACAGGCTCCCCATCAACCAGCGACTGACAAATGGTGAATTAAAGGAGTGTTGTACCCTTTTGAAATATTGTGCTCCGTCATCGGAGATTCGGCAGCACGTCGCCGACCACTTTGGAAAGGTACTCACTATCAAGGATGTGCGTAGCCATCGCTTCAAATGTCGACCCCATTGTTAAGTAGGTCGTTGGTTAACTTTTAGTCGGTTTTTTAGATGACACGTCACCGATCATAGCCAAGTTTCGAGAGTGCGGTCGCGTGCTAATAGTGGAATCGGTGGGTGGCAGATATATTTACCTGTGCTTTTCTCGAACGCAGCAGATAGCACTCCTTAGGCGTTACCCGGACATTGTAAACGTTGATGCTACACACAGGACTAACCGTCTTGGGTAAATAAATTTAGAGGCCCTGACGTTCACTGTTAAGGTACAAGCTTTATACATTTCTTGTGACGGATGTAGTGTATGCCTTTGTCGAAAGCGAGCATTTTGCGGCATTGCGCAAGCTGTTCAGTTTGTTCAAGGATATGACGGGTGGACACTATGAAGTCAAAACGTTCGTCATGGACAAGATCACCTCGCAGATGCGGGCTGCCAAAGCTGTATTTGGCTGCGATATAATGCTGCGCTGTTTTCACGCACGGCAAGCCATCCGGAAGTGCGCACGTTTCATTGCTCTGGTGTAACTTCTGCAGACAATTTTCAACCGCATTCGTCACATATCCCACCGCATAACTCGCTTTGATAATGCAGCTGAGTAAGTGACTGTGCACCAAACACTAATCCCGTAGATTTCGCCACGATTTGCAAATCCTGAGGAGAACAGATCCCAGTTTTGTCTCTTATTTGACTGCCCACTGGCTCCACATCACTCGAAAGTGAGCCATTCATGCACAACTTGGGTTGGCACATCTTGGAAATGTGAACAACAACCGCCTGGAGAACGCCAACGGGGGTTTGAAGGGGCGCGTGCATCACTCAGATAATCTGGAGCATGCCGTACAGAAGGTCGCTTATCACAGCGAATGGCTAATGCGCGAATATGAAATGCACACCAATTATTATTTTGATAGACAAGAAATTCGGGAGGGAGACATCTACTTTCTACGTGTGGTTTCCCGGATGACGACGTACGCCGCTAATCAGGTTCTCAGGCACACTGGAATATGCACGCCAAATCTGATGTACGACCAGACAGATCGCTTCAATGTGAGAAGTCCGCTGTTGGTCAGTTTGTGGTACAAACCCCCAAATTTTCTCAGACAGTCAACACCTCGGCCCGAACCTGCACGTGCATACTTTACTAATCAATGTGGCTACCTTGTGTACACCTATTTTCAGTATTCCGCGGCCGCTCGTTCCCGTGCGGTAAACTGATTAATCCAACATGCAGTGCCTAGGTCAATTTGCAATCCATCAACGGTGGCTTGCCGAAAACAACCTACCGGAAGGAGGAGTGCCTTTATCTCTGGTTCCGAAGCCAGAGCCATCACCAACAGAGCACTTGCACAAGAAGCTTGATCGGTTGGTTGGCAGACTGAAGCTGTTGGAACCACGCAAGGCTGCTAAGTGTATGAAGCGTCTGATTGTCCAAAGCCAGCTGATGTTGCGTCAAAATTCAAATAGTCACAGGACAGTCAGCCTCTGGTGTTGGATGGCAACCGCAACCAACCACAGTGTCGTTCGACGTCAAACGGCGCTGTTCCCTGTGGTCTCTGCGGCCAGCCAACTGACCCTGCTGATTGATGGTGTCAACGTAATCGACTTCCATATCACCGTTATTGCTGCGGCAATGAGCCCTGCTCGCTGTGTGGAGAAAATCTTCAGGCGCGTCCGCCAGGTGAGTGCGCACGCATCAATTAAACTATTCCCATTAGTTGCCGGTCGGTCTACCTGTCGGTCAGCTAAAAGAGCTTGCTTTGACATTGATCTTGTCAGTCCACGGAGGACAAGCCGAGTCTGCCCCGTAAGAATGTCGCAATAAAACTGGTTTGTTTAATTTCGGAGTAGATGGAGACCGGTAATTTGAGGCCTAATTTCTTAGCATACGCTTTATAGATCTTGTTTTCGAATCCCGTGATGACGAAGAATTCGTGATTGTAACTCGAAGGCCTCAAATGCTGAATCAATGAACCTATGGCAACCCGCAACGACTATACATTTATCTATCATCCAGGTAATGGGAATTATGAACCATTAGGTAAGCAAACAAATAAAATTACATCCTAATGCTTAAATGCTGTTCCTAAAGATTAATTGCTTGCTCATTTTCCGTTTCAGAATCCTTGTCCCGTGAAGTGGATCATAAGAACATGAAAAATGGAGCGACTACCAACTAAGCTTGTATCAGTGACGCCAATGAATAAAATGCACTTCGCCAACGGTGTTTTTGTAAATTCGTGGCGGGCGCATTATCAACCAGTGGAGTTATGAGTATGGAGTGCCGTCGTTGGCCATTGTATTAAGTTACGGTTCATAGGTGAAGCCTCATAATCTGCGTCGCGAATAGCAGTTACGCTAAGTAGTCGAGGTGAGCGACAGCTCATTGTTTCGGGTAATCTAGGGAGTGGTCGAGGGGCACAATCAAGAGTAGGGGGTGGGAGTGCGCTATCAAATTGGGTGGTAATTACAGTTCGACAGGTGATGACCACCGTTGATCGTTGGGCTTGTCTATTATGTGTTGCCGGGGCATTATGGTTAGCTACGAGCATGTGTGCGGGCCTGGCAGTTACTGTAGGTAGCCACCTTAGGTTACGTCGACTACAGTCGTGATGTTTACTGAATGTAGTAAACATAAATGGCATCGAGTAAGCATGAGTATGACGATAAATAGTCAAGTTAGGTGACTTCGAGTACAGTTGTGAGTATAGGCTGTGAGATTAGGCTATCACCCATAGTTGAGTCCTTGTCTTAACCGGTCGGCATATATATTGGTCGTTAAGATGTCACGCATAGTTGGAAACTGGTTTCTATCGACCCGCATAGATACTGGCTTTGTGTTTACTGTAGGTAGCAGGCAGGTACGACAGTGAAGATCGGTGTTTAACACTGATTTCACGCTCTCCATGATGATATAAGTAGCAGACATAAGTGTGAGAGCGCGCACGTTTATGGGTATGACGGGCCATCGTTGGCAGTTAAACCGGGACACTTCGCATAGCGGAGGCCTACTAAACAGCGTCGCATATAGGCACTGGCCTGGCAGTTTCAGTAAGTAGTCAAGGTAGGCGATGTCACGTACAGTTTTGATTATTAGGTCCACCGTTCGCCATTAGATGTATGCAAAAGGACATTGACTCAATAGGTACGATCAGTAGCCAAGTTAGATGACTTCGGGTACAGTTGTGAGTATAACAGGCTATCAGGTGTGGCTACCACGCATAACTGAGGCCGGCATATACATTGAACTGATTTTTACTGTAGCTAGCAAGGCAAGCGGTATCGCGTGTAGTTAAGTGTATACAAGACCCTCATTGACCATCGGGCTATGTTACTGTGCATAGGTGCAGTCTCCTTATCAACATTGCACATAAACGCGGGCCTAGCAGTTACAACAGGTATTCGAGATGAGTGAAAACTAGTAGAGATACGAGTACAAGGGGCCGTCGTTGCTCATTGGATTGGGCTGCCGCGCATACGTGGGGAACCGTAATCAGCGTCGCACATAAACACGGATCCAGCAGCTACAATAGGTAGTCGAGGTGAGTGACAACGGCTACCGTCATCGTGGTGACCACTTTATGGTGGTCATCACCTATAGAACGTCATAGTTATAATAGGAAAGACGCTCACAACTATCTCCTAACACTGTATTATCTATAAGCTAGTTATGCAAATCTGGGAAAGGGAATCATCCACAGATAGCCCTCACACCGCCACTGCAAGTTTGTGCTGTTGTCTAACTTTATTGCACTTATTGGAATATGAGATCCATGAGGAAAATGTGTTGTGAGCAGGTTCGTCGAACAAAAATATCCCATTTGTTAAATGAGATGTCTAAAGCAAACAAACGCCTGCGACTGATCCTATAGGGTGACATTTGCATTAAATACTCTTAAGATGTTATTTTCATTCTTCAGGAACACCGAGGAACGCCAAAATATGCTAAGGTACGATTTCGTGTTTTATGTTGCGTAAACCGGCAAAAAATGCAAATTGGCATTGCTCAATGACCTTGACATTTCGCTCACTTAAACAACCTGCATACGTGCAACATGTCACGGGACGGTGCACATTGATGAGACAAACTCCCCATTAAAATAGCAACTTCGAAAACCCTATAGTTTCGGCGAAATCAATTTGGGTGTGCCAATAACCTGCGGTGCCTTTGTAGCGTCCTCAATAAGCTTCCGTAAATCATGGGCTCTTAGTTTCCGTGCTTGAGAGGGCCGTTTACCTATTCTAACAATGGTGATTCATGCACCTAGATAGTTTACTTCTTTTTTATTTAGGCGGAGTACAGTGCAGTGTTCTGCTGCCATATATTTATTTGTCGGATATCTGGTTCATGGAGTTTTCATATCTTCCAACAGGGAGGCTAGAATTTCGGTTCATTCGGGTTATATTTTTAAGGAGTGAAACGCATATCGCGTTGCTTGGACTTCTTTCCTCTGGAGTATCGTCGCCTCTGAGGAGACCTTATACTTACTTATGCCCCGTTTGAACTAGGTTTGGCGATCAGGTATTTCACCGTGGCCCCAGCAGGCATATGACGGGGACATGGTAAGAAGAATTTTAGGTTCAGAGCGCGCACCTTAATTAGGCAAATTGTTTCTTACTTCGGGTAGTTGCCGCGTTGAATAACCTTCCTCCGACAGCTGTCCACGCTCCATCCAGAACCCAGTTCAAAGCACTATTGGACACCTATTTTATGCGAGTCCTCGCGTTGGCAAGCTTACTGCACCACGCTAAGAACGTTAAGGGCAGTGCCACACCCGTTTGTCACTTATGCTTTTCAGGTGAACGGGAACCGCTGAACGACAAGAACAAAACCGACCCGGGTAAATTGGGCAAAAGCCTCGATCCTGTGTATCACTACGTGAGTCCGGGAGCCAGTAAGCCCGTGCTCCATCCAGATTGGCTGGCATTCTGACCAACCAGAGCATGGCTTTTGTTCCCAACCCGCACGTTACACGTGCATCCAAGCGTAGCATACGGTGTCTGCCAGTTTGATTGATTTGCATGTAAGTATTGGTGGTACACGAACTTGGTTACTGGATTTCTATCTGTTTCTCACCCACGAAAATTGTTGTGAACAGCTGCCTTCGGAGAATCACAGTCCCTTGATGCTTCCGGAGCGTTCTGTTCGGTTATCAGGGGCGTCTGGCCTCCGGACACGGGCAGAACATTCCAAGTGAGAGTCGGTAACGAAGTTTCGGTTTGCGAATAAAACTTGTAAAGTGGAGCACCTGAGAAGCATAGAAAGTGCTTCAGCCACATGTAGGCTGCGGGGCTCCTGCCCACATTATTAAACACATGCTGCTAGAGGCGATCCTACATTGTCCTAGAGGCCCTTGAAGGTACATGCGAAGCAGGAAAACTACACCCCCTTTTCTCACCTACGCAAGTTTATCTTCAACGCAAGGCTCGGATGCCTTGGTTGCCGTGACGCTTGCGTTGTCAGGAAATATGAAGCCATTTGCTGGGAAGCATAATTTTATTATGACTGATTGCAAACAAATTACAGAATCACCGAAAACGTGTTCCGCATTTGTACCCTTGATGCGCCTGTGACACCTGTGGATAACACGCAGCTTGGCACACGACCTGCACGGAAAGCGACAGCAAGCATGGAAATCAGACTAACCCAGGCCGACAATTGTCTCGCAAACATCCGATGAGATATTTCGAGCAACGCTTAGCTTAGGTGACTTGCTTTTGGAGGCAGCCTGTACTAATACACTACTCTCAGCAACAGTAGCCGATGATTGGATATCGTTCAGTGGCAACAGCCACTAGACTCAACCAACGGAATCAGTGACTGAGCATGGTACCAGGCAGCAAATGCCACATGGCGACATGGCAACAACCGTGAGCTTGTAAACGAGCACGAGCACTTCATGGGTACTCCCAACTGTAGTTGATCACCGTCGCGAAAAACAAGATACGATTGTGCGTCGTGGGCGTCGTGGTTGGCGTATGGCGTTAGCCGGCCCAAACACTCGAAACGAGATGACACTGTCGCACCTTCGGTCGGCCACGCACAAGTGGGACGCTTACTGGTATCCTGTACTTGGCTACTAATTGCTCATTCCTGTTGATTATGACCTGAACACAGGTGAGCAACAAGGAAGACTCAGTAAGTTTCCACTTAATTTACCTGTTTGCAGGTTCGACCCGGTTAGTTGTTTCATTAGAGGGGTCACAGCATGCTTCCGAGTATGCTTTGCCCAGGTGCTCAGGTCGGTTAACCAATGCTCGCTGAGCTGCGACCAGTAAGTCTTGTTCCGGCTTCTGATACTAGTGGCATAGAACTCAAACTCGCTCACTTCCCTACAATGCACCATTCTCTTAGACCGGGCAAACAAAATTTATTTAGCGGAATGAGTCACTTCCATAAGCTTACTAATCCTAGCTTTGAAGCCTTGTAATGCTGGAAAAGAACAAACACAACAGCGGCGTTAGGCATCGCTGCCTTCAGGCTACACAACTGTGACTTATTCTCATCTACCACAATCGTTCGAACAACATTCACCGGGTACATCATTCCCACAAAATGTTCCACAGCAACATCACTACATTCCTGTGACTTATTTCGGATAAAGAATTAGAACACACTCCGACCAACACCGTTACGATCGGTGATTACCACATGCCACAGGTTTCCACCACCTCTGTTAC